GGAGCACGCGCAGGAGCACGACCTCCTTGGCGTCGGCGACGAACATGGCGGCCCCGTGCTTCCTCGTGCTTGTGCTCCTCTGCTTCCTCGCCGGTGGAGGACGCGCATCCACACGGTCGCCGCCGCAGATCTTGGCGAAAGCTACCTTCCCCGGCGACGAACATGGTGGCACCTCGCCGGACCTAGGAGCTCGCGCGGCCAGAAGGGGAGGAACCGGACCTCGCGCGCGTCGCCGGGGATGGGGGAGCAGCGACCGGAAGAGGAGGAGCTGAACCTCTCGCGGCCGACCATGGGGGAGGCACGCCGGGGATGGGGACGCACGCGCGGTGGATCTCGTGCCTGCGTTCGCCATCGGAGCAGCGCTGCTAGCTGGGGTGGTGCGCATACCTCACGCTCGCCGGCTCCATCTGCTGCTGCTCGCGCGCCGGGAGGGAGGAGGAGGCGAAGCTGAGAGGCGCGTAGGGCGAGATGCATCTTTATCGAGCGATGAGGATGAGACAGACGAAGAAGAAATTGATGAGGGGTAACAAAGTCATTTCGCATCCCACAGACACGCTGGCTTCATTATGTGTTCTGCCATGTATGCAAAAATGGCTTAAAGTTATAAATTCTTCTCTCTCAAAGGTAAATATGTAGGAGCAATTTTAAAAATACTATCTAAAGAAATGATATCCATTATAATGATAAAAAGTTAAATATCCCAACGTTTGAGAGCCCCTTCCTTCTTCGTGACTTCAGGACCACATGGAGTGTATGTAACGTAGTGCCACGCACGAAAACATAATCGATACAGCTGCACTCAACTCAGTGTCGCCTCGATCCAACAAGCCATGTGCGTTCCTACAGTTCTACTCACCGGCGGGCTCGGTAGTCAACACGTACTCAACTACAGGATGGTCACGTGCATTCCCACTTCGCTTGGATTCAGTGGGCTCATGGCTCGTCTCTTGTCCTTTGCTTGCATCACATCCGGGGTCAGGTAAAGTACGTATATTCTGTGCCTTCAACTTCAACCGGTTGATTAAAGCCATGTTTGGTCCTCCTAAAAACTATAAAAACTTTAGAAGCTAAAATCTAGATAAATTTTGTCTAAAGAATTAAACAACCCTTTCTAAAAGCTTCTAAAACTTTAGGAGGGGCTAAAAACTTTAGGAGCTCCACCCCATCTAAAAGCTTCTAAAGTCCATCCTGGACCTGGGGTACCCGTCCCGACCGCACGCTCCCCCACGCCCCCGCACCCACGTCCCGAACGCCGCCGCCGCCGCTCCCTCCCACCTCCACGTCGACGCCCGCCAGATCCGCCGCCCCCACTCCCTCGCGCCGCCGGATCTGCCGCCCCTGCTCCCTCGCGCCGCCGCACAGGCCGGCCGTGGCGCCCCCGCTCCTCCTCGGCGCAGGCGCCACGATGTCCGCCTTGGAGAGGCCGAGCGCCGGGCCGGTGAGGAAGGCAATGTCCGCCAGCGAGGACCTTTTCGGGTGGCCGCCTGTCCACCCCTTCCTCTACCGCCTTTCGCGCGGCCCACCACCATGTCGTCCACCTCCGGCGGCCGCCCCGCCACTCCGTCCGCCGTATTCGCGCCCCCCACCACCCTGTCCTTCCGCCGGCAGGGCCAGAGGCCGAGTCGCCAGTGGCGGGCACCCGTAGCAGCCGCCGTTTGGGCGTAGGGAGGGCGGAGGCACCCGTCTGCCCCGCCGCGCCGCGTCCTGCAGTGCCGGTGACCCTCCCCGCGGCGGGACCAACGCCGGCGGCGGTAGCCGCCATCCCTCATGGAGCCGGTGAGGGGGAGGCTTGAGCGAAGAAGCAAGAGGTCAGGGGGAGTGAGGGGGAGGCGGATCCGGGTAACGCGGGCGTGGATCTGGTGACAGTGGCGGCGGATCGACGGCAATGTTGCCGGAAGAAGCGGCGGCGGAACGTGTGTGAGGCGTGGCTACGGCATTTGAGGAGTGGGGAGGAGGCTGGAGGGAGCAAGAGTGGCGTGTGGAGCTGAGGGAGAAAGAGAGTAGCGCCAGGGGTAACTGGGGAGGACATCATGGTCCTTTTGCCACTACATTTATTGTCTTTAGTCAATTTTAGCAGGCAGAACCAAACACTCTTCTAGAAAGTTTTAGAAGGCTGCCTAAAACTTTTTAGTAGCTAAAGTTTTAGAGCTCGGAACCAAACATGTCATGAGTACACATCTTATGGATACGGACAGTAGATTATCCTGCGTTTCTTCTAGCACATAGTACAGTGCTCGGTGACGCTGCTTTCGCTTTGGTTCGTACCTGACCTGACCAAAGTCACGTGTGTCCAGCGAGGTGTCCTGAGTCCTAAAAAGCGGGTCCAAAATAAGGACATGGTCGGTTGATGCCAAACATTTCACAAAATTTTGCTAAAACAGGTCAGGTGTATAGTGTACTCTTTCCGATGCATAAAAAAAATATAATTATACGATTCATGCCAGCCAAATTAGTTCAAATTTGACCTACTTTATAATAAATAGTATTAGCATTTATGCTTTTAAATAAATTTATCATAAAAATATATTCAATAATTAATTTAACAGTATTTATTTTGTACCCTAAATGTTACTCCTATGTTCCAAATTATAAGACGTTTTGACTTCCTATGAATCTAAGTATGTCAAAACGTTTTATAATTTGCGATGAAGGAAGTAGAACTTTTATATACATAATTTTGGTCAAAGTTTAAATCATTTGACTTCTCGAAGTAAGAGAATTGCATTTTTTTTGACGGAGGGAGTAATAACTTAGGCTTAGAGTGGATTAGAGTGGAACTAAATTGTGAATTGAGGCAAATATGAGTTTAGACAGAAATAATACAAAAAAAAAGATAACTCTTGCTATGGCTCTATCAAACAGGGTCTTACATTTTCAGCTTGTTTTTCTCTCACAACAAATCCGTCGAAACAATGTTTCGACTTGTTTTTTCAGCGAAGCGAACGGGCCAATGGCAAGCTGATAATGGAAACGCTCATAGGTATTTGACAATCCGATTCGTTGGCTTCTTGTAGGTTTCAAGAGCTCTATTATATTATAACCCTCTCAACATTATTTTTGCTTGGTTATCATTTTATTATGGCACGTTTACATTTATAACAAATCAAAAATCCATGATTAATTATTGATATAAAAAGTACATCAAACACGAAAATAAAGTTAAAGTTTTGGGCCAGCTACGCCGTGCTTCATTGTCGTTGGCGGAATGGCGGCAGCATACCACACTCATTGCCTCCAGACCATGGTTGTTAAAATCTACTTTTACGTCCTTTTAAGATCTGTTCTAAGAACTCTGAGTCTACACGGTTTTAGTAAATAGTCTACGTGTTTATGTTTTTTATATTTAATGAATCATATATGATTGTGATTTTGACAAGCTTACTCTATAGCCTCTGTTGCCACGGATCGGTAGCCCAGGGCGAGTATTACTATGTTTTTTCGAAATGCTTTTGGTAGGATGACCGTTTTGTCTGGACGCTTTTGCGTTGGTGGGCATTGACGCCCGCCCGAACGGCCCAACACTGCCATCTGCACGGATGCATCCATCTGCTCGAAAAAAATCTCCACTCACTTTCCTCTCTGATCATCGCTGCGCCCGCATCCATTCTCGAACCCACACTTGAATCGTCGCTGCGGCATTCTCCACAGCGACCGCGCTGCCGCAACGCGGCGGCGTGCTACACCACGCTAGAGCGCCACCCGCTGCCTTCCTATCTCCCCACCGCCAATTACCACTCGCCGCCGAGTTCTCCGCGCGCGATGCGGCGTGGTCCACGACCACTGCTCCCGCGTGGCGTTCTTCACCGTGCCCAGCCGCCTTCTCCACGGCATTCGAGCGCCGCTTGCTGGCTACCGCAGTTATCCAAAGTAGGTCGTGGCCGCCGGCGGTGCCGTGTTTCAAGTGTTTCAGGTGGTCCAGAAGTACGTTTTCAAGTGTTATGTGCGTATGTTGCAATGGCATATAAGCATGTTGCAATCATATGTTTCAAGTGTTTCAAACGTATATTTCAAGTGTTTTATCTGGATGTTGCAGAAGTATATTGGGATGTTGCATAGCATGCATGTTGCAAGTGTATGTTTTGAGTGTTTCATGCGTTTCATACGTATGTTGCAAGTGTTTTATCTGGATGTTGCAAAAGTAGATGTGGATGTTGCATGTGTTTGCAATGTCTTTCAAGTGTTTTTAGGTGTTTTTGTAAATGTTTCAGACATATGTTACAAGTGTTTTATCTGGATGTTGTAAAAGTAGATCTAGTGTTGAACATGTTGCAATGGGACCACCCGCCGCAGCTGCCTGTTGGAGCTGCTGGGGCACCGCTGAGCGGGCGCAGACGGTCCCGACTACATGCGCGTGGGAAGACGAGGAAGCGCGAGGGACCCCTCGCGTGCTGTTGGTCGGGCGAGCGACACATGCTGTCCGGGTGGTGCGGGCCTCGCGTGGGCACGGAAAACAGGTGTAGGTGCAGGAAATGGGTTGCTAGCACGGGCGTCCATCTGGAGTCCGGGCGCTAGCAATTCCAAACAATGTAAGTACTTGAATCGCTTTAATCCAGCCGTAAACCCGGAAGATTGCGTATGGAACGGATACCTTTGCCCTTTCAAGCATAGGATCCAGAATCGAGCAATGTGCGAACACGGTGGATTTGTCATTTATCCGTCGTTTCCGTGCTTCCTAGTCCTGGCCTGACGCGTTGGGCCGGAGACCGCAAGTCCGCAATACGAGGGCGTCAGCCGCAGGATTCGCCGCGTCAGGCGCTCTGCGATGCGGCCCAGCACAGCAGCATCCGCCCGCGCCGCACCCGCTGCGCGGCAGCAACGCCAAGCAGCGTCAAACGAGAGCCAACCAGGACCTTCACGTGGCTACCAGCCGTATACACGCGCCTGCCAGTGCCAGCCGTCGAAGCCTGACGAACCCCGTGACGGGCTGACGGTGATGCATCAAACGAACGGTTGTACTAGGACTCATTTACGTTCTGAGCTGTGCGGCTGTACAGAGCCGTCTAGCTAGCACTGCCAGTACGGGAGCTCGCCAGCTCAGGTGGCTGCTCGGTGTGCGAGTGCTGCCCACTGTCACTTGCCTCGTTACATTTGCCATCCCGTTCCCCACACGAGCCAGCACCTTCGTCTAACCCGTGGTTTCCTCTGTCAGAAGAACTGAAACCTACTTCGCCGGCGCGAAAGTCAGCGGCGGTAGCCGCCTCATCGTCGTCGTCATAGCCGAAAGCCTCGTCGTCATCTTCGTCGGAGTAATCACCAACTTCATCGTCTGAGTCAGGGTAATCGGCCTCGTCGTCCACGGACTCGCTGCCATCCTCGGCGGTAGCACCGGCGATCTCATTGTCGAAGCGCTTAAGGTAGGCCTCATCGTCCTCATCCTACACAGCGAAATCGTGAACGTTTACCAGGATCTCAACGGGGTACTGACATGAGACGAGCTCAGTCGGCATGCGTGGCGGTAAAAGCTCATCGCACTCACCTCCATGTCTTCCTCGTCGCTCGAATACGCGGCATCCAGTTTGGCGTACAGCTCCTCGTCTCCTTCGTCCTTCACGCCTTCCATCTGGAACTGAAAATTAATCAATGCATACAGTAATGGCATCATGTAAGTATATTATATTTTTATATATGTATGACATAATAACATTTCATTCAAGAGAAAAATTGGTTGGCTACTCTGCGCACCAATTCCGCTTTGAGCTGCTCCACCTTTCTGTTTAGCTTTGCAAAATGACGACTCAGGGCATGTCACAAAATTAAATTGCAAGAACGGTGTAAGTGAAGGGGAAAAAAGATGATGATGAATGAAGTTTTTTATCATTAGAAAAAAATGTATGCCAGATAAATGACCATGATTAAAACAGAACACGGGATATGGTGCTGTAAGCATAATCTGTTCCCTTGTTTTGGAACACCCAACATATGCAAGCTTAACTTTGAGTAAACCACCACAAAATCGAAACAGTATGCCTGATGTCTCTGAAGCTCGATGGATCTGGCCAAAGCCTTCCGCTTTGACAAGAGATTTCTAGGTCTGAGCGAAGAAGGGCGCCGGTAGTTCTTCCCTCGGAACACAACAATGGCGTAGCCTTTGGAGACTTTGTCAACTGAAACAAGAATTCCCCCGCTCTCAGCTTCAAGTGATAGTGCTATCCTCTTCACGTCTACAAAAGACTTCGCTTTCACTAGTATCTTCACCAGCTCCCTGTACTTCCAGTGCAAGTGCATGTTCTCAATTGTGCCGTCAAAAACTCCTCTTCTGCCTGCAAGTGGTCAGAAGAATTAATAAGAATGAAGAAAGAAAGACACTAGATCTCATGTCAGTAATATAATTGGTCAGGTTATTAAAACAAAGAGGTGCAGTAATGCTTCCAAAAAAAATAAGGAATGCAAATAGTTTGTCAACCAATCACTACAAAATCAGAAGAATCCAATATTCCAATGACCCTGAGAATGGTAATATAGATTACTCCCTCCATTCGTTTCTAACTGCTATTTTAGGAACCGAGAAGTCTACATTTTATTAGGTGCTACAATTGTTTTATATTTGACCTACATCTTCATAAAACGTGCATACCTCAATGCGTGCAACATCTATGCAACTCAGTATCTTTGTTCATCAGCAACTAAGAATAAAAAAATGAAGGTTGAAGAGAGGCAATCTGAGGAAGCAACTGACTAAAAATGTAATAGGACATATGTGTCCAGTGACTGTTTCCCAGTAACTGTGCAAAAGTCCAACACAAAAAAGAAAAAGACAGAGAATTACCGAGGAGCAGAAATGCGTTTATCCTTAGACCAAGTTTCCGAAACATGAACCTCTCTTCATCTGTTATTGTTTCAGGTCTGGAATCTTCAGTTGGCCTCAGGGCTGTCTCAACCTTTCCTAGTACCCTTTCAGCTTTCTCCATCTTTTTCTGTGCCTGTACATAAATAAAGTGAAATTGGTTTGATTCAAATCATATAACTTGCATCTTCCAGTGATACAATGCATACAAGAATTTAGCCACACAAGCTTAGATGCAACATGACCCTATATTACTTATGACAACAACAACAAAGCCTTTTTAGTCCCAAGCTAGTTGGGGGCCTAGATTGAAAACCCAACAAGAGACACCAACAAGAAGAGAAAAGAACACGCCCTAAACTACTTGTCATACTAAAATTATGCATCTGCACTCTGCCATATTTTGGGGGAAAATATAAGTTCTTGACGTATTTTGGACATCATGAGGCACATATAAAAAAATGTTTCCAGAAGATAAGATAGAATCTAACGAAGTGAACTTAGACTATTCAAACTTGGTCACTTTTTTTTAGATCACGCCAAAGCGCGTATTTCATTAAGCAGAACAGAAGTTTTTAGAACAAACAACAAGCATGGTAACACTCTGGTTACCAAATCACTTACAAGTGAGAGCTTCCACTCTAGCTTTCTTACGAGGTCAGCATGTCTTGCAGCTTCAGCAGTTCTTGTCATTTTGTCCGCATGATTCTCATCAAGTTTAGTTCCATATTTAGAATTAGCCTCTAGAGTCTCTCCTAGAGTACCAGCTACAGTAGGCTGTACATATGTCTCAGCACTTGAAGAAAAATAAGATGCTGCCTTTCGCCGTGCTTCCTCTTCATCTTGAAGTGACTTTGCTAATCTTTCCCTCTCTAGCAGCACCTCTGTAAGTTCTGAGGACAAGAAATCCTTCCCTCTGTAGAAGACTATAAATTCATTGTTCCTTGAAAGCATCACGCCACCTGTTAATTTCTGATGTGGATTGAAAAAAAACATTAGCTATGAATCATTAGTTCACTACAAGACCTACCTAAAAACTTGAACAAATGGATAAGTGAAAAGAAAAACAGCAGTAGCAGATTGTTCTCTATAACAGGGAGCCAAATGTAAACATTAACATTTTGGTTCGTAATCTATGTTCCACAGAACCACAACTCTCGTCGATTTAATCTTTCATAGAAACTATGAATTTTTCATGCAAAATCAGCCAACATTTTTTATTGATCAAGAGCCCAAATCAGTACATAGGTAGCATTAATGCTCATTTAGTAAGACTAAGAAATAAAATACACTAGCAAAAAAAGGGCTTCTATTCCCCGCTGCTAACTCCCTTTATTCCCGGTTACGCAGCCAGGAATAGGAGTTCGAGAATAAAGGGTTAGTAGCCGGGAATAGAAGTGGACCTTTAGTCCCGGTTGGTGATACCAACCGGGACTAAAAAGGTAGCCACGCCTCTTTTTCTGCTTATTTCAATTGATGATTCTTTTTTGTTTTAATTTGGTTTTCGAATACGCATTATTCGCTGCAAAGTAATATACATATACGCGCGCGTACTGTAAAGTTTTCGCTCGATCAATGCACGCAAGCAACACAAGTAAAAGTAAACTAGAACATAATATTACATTTTGTCGTCACATGTAAAGTTTGCATTAATTGTACATTTCATCATCACATGTTCTTTGGATCAATATGAAATTTGGCTTTCATCATCACATATTTGGGTCATAGTAAAACTCGCCGCCGGGAGTTAAGACCTGATCATTCAGAAATCCACCTATTGTCTCTTGGATTGCTTTGAGATGGTGTGTGTCCAGGGTTTTTTTCCTTCAACCAACGAGTCTTCAATTTGAGATATGAGATAAAGAAAAAGTATATTAGTATATATATATATATATATGTATCAAGAATAATGATAAATAAATTGTATCTATCACGAATATATATATATAAATATATGTATGAAGAATATATATATATATATATATATATATATATATATATATATATATATGTGTACACTTACCATTTTTTCCTCTAGACTAGTTCTTTTTGAGCACACTCTCATGAACTCGCAAACATAGTATCCACAGAAATTGGTCCCCTGGGGCTGCAGCAGAACCCACTTTACGAGAAAAAGATTTGTCATCATCCGAGCATAGGGAAATTGAACTAAGGTAGGTATATAGTACTTACTTTGTATAGCACTACTTTCAGTGGCACTTTGCATTTCATATGGTGTTCCTGACAGACTTTTTCCCAACAACTACCAAATAACATAAAAAATATTTTGACCATTAATTTGCATGCAGAGAGACTGGAATAGTTTTGCTAGTGAGACTGCAATTACCTCTGAATAATATCTATCATCTCTTGGAACTCTTTTTGCTCTTCTCTCATCGAGTCCCAAATGCCTAGAAGACCTTTCTCCAGATCGAGTTCCATCAATATCCAGTGTTCACTGCCATGTCCATTAACACTCATTAATTAGCTAACATGTACAGTGAACATATATATATGGATACACGATCGTCGACATTATGAACACTTACCTGAAGTTGTAGGGGAAGAATATACATTTCTTGTCACGTTACTTCTCGGGTTTTTGAATACGATATGTGGATCAATGAAACCAATATTAGTACACCCTCTCTTTTTGCACTCTCCCATCTCAAACCTACATCATATATATAGAGTGAGGATAATAAACACAGACATGTACGTACATAGCGACTTATTATTAATTAGTAGAAAGAATCATTTACAGACAATAGCAGCTGATGAGAGTCTTGTCGAGAGAGTTTCGGTGGACTAGTTGGTGTAATTCAGCTAACTCAATGTACATAACGTCATCGCCATGGAACCAATGGTCTCTTTGATTCTGACAGAAATATAGAACTCTTTCCGGTGACACGCGTCGAGGTACAAGTTGTTTAGCTTGAACAATTGTGTACCCAGTTCATTGATGGTCTTAGGATTCCATAGACTCCTTCCATGCTCATATTTCTACCATTCATCCGCTACCGGTGCACTTTCGAAGAGGAAATCGCCAAGGTCGATACCTCTCATAGCATAAAAGTTAGCAAGTTCTGCCATATCCACTTCTTTATCAGCAGGTATTTCCATCATATCCATCATATCTATGTTTGAACCATATTCAATAGCAATAACTAGAGAAGGGACTGATTGCAATTCTTGTTCTCCGAGTTGTGCAACAGTTTTCCCTGCTTTAACAGCTTTCTTGATTATCTTGCTAAGAGTGCGGTCAAAGTCTGATGGTGGCGAGGGCTTACGAGCTTGCCGCCTCTTTTTCTGCTCAGCTTCCACCATCCGCCTTAGTTTAGCTGGAGGTAGGTGGAAGTGCTTTTGCTCCTGCTGCTTCCTCTTTCCTGTGCCTGAGAAGAATGCTTCGACGGATTTTTTAACCGCATCATCTAACTCCTCTTTACTCATTTCACCTGGCAATTTCTGTGGAATTGGCCTTGGTTTCACGAGGGCCTTCTTGGTCGTCTTCGTCGGCGGGGCAGATGGCTTATTTGTTTGCAGCCGTCTTCCCTGGTTCATGGGAGGAGGTGGGGGAACAGGCGTTGGAGACCTTCGAGGCGGCGTTGGGGAATGCCTTGGAGGCAGTGGCGACGGCGGTGGAGACCATCTTGGAGATGGTGGGGATGCAGCCGTGTCTTCTACCCCATCGTAACTGTCGCCTGGAGCACTATGCTGGTCTGGTGATTGTACTATTGGACTTAGGTTGGGGGAGGCCCTGCTGTGTGCGTACAGAAGACAATTAGTCAATTGTTATTTAAGAGGCAATATAAAATTAATAAAAAAATTGTTTCGTTCACTTTCATCCATACCTATTGTGCGGCAACGGCTTCCCGGGAATATTGATGTAGCGCCTGCGCCATGCAATGAATGACTTCTCTGCTTCTCCCACGGTCTTCTCTCCATCACCTCCATGAATGTCAAGAGGCACATCGCTAAAACCTTCAATAGCTTTATCCACCGAGACGGTAGCATATCCAGCTGGTACTACTGCCCCATGGATTCTTGGTGTCTTGGTACGGTCGATAGGGTTTACAACACCAATAGCCACCTTCACTGTGCCATTATCTTTTGGAATGTGCAGCTCACATGATGTAAAAGGTTCAGTGACGTCATCCACAGGGAAGCGCAGCTCTGCATCTTTTATGGCATCAGGCAGCTCCGTAGAAGCACAACTGCTTCTCAACTGATCGGAGCTAATGTTGATTCCCGAAGCTGTTGTAATCCCGTGGGCACTCAATTGTATTTGCACTTGCCTTGCGACTTCCTCTTGCATTTTCGCTTGCATTTCTTTTTCTCGCCTTTGTGATTCAAGCACCGCTTCCCGTGACTCAATAACATATTGCTGCAAGATGCGGATCCTCTCTGCCTCCTCATCCTTCCATCTCTGGCGGCTTCTGTACGAATCGATCCATTCAGGGAAACCTTGCACCCACGGAATGGCCCCTTTGCCTCTAGTTCGTCCACAATGCTCAGCAGTCCTGATGGAATATGTCAGTTCATCTCTCTCTGTTGGGCCGGAATAGTCCACTATCTCTAGCTTTTAGAATTTGAATCAACCTTTCTGTTGCTCTTTCGAGTTTTGTGCCATGGACGAGCTTCCCGGTGACTGGGTCCAATCCTTCCCCATGACCTAAAAACCAACGCTCTGTGCGTTCAGGCCACGGTGCTGATTCAGGTACGACCCCCTTGGCAATAAGGCCTGCTTCCATTTTTTGCCACTTGGGAACGGAAGTCGCGTAGCCACCTGATCCCATGTTATGGTGGTATTGCTTTTGTGTGGAATTCTCTTGGTTCCTTCTCGCCCGTTCTGCACCCTCTTCTAATGTCTTGTACTGTACAAATTCCTCCCAGTAGGGCCTTGCCTTCGCAATTGGGCCCTTATCGTTCCAATTTGGAGTCTTGTTCTTCTTGACGTATGATTTGTACAGCTGCTTCTTCCAAGATTGGAGTTGGGTGTCCATCTTCTTCATTGCCCAGTGCCTAACTCGCTCCGTCAACCTTTCATGGGTGATGTCTTCATGATAATCATCTGTTTGGAGCGTGAAATGTGCAAGAACATCTTGCCAAATCAGCTACTTGTCCTTATCAGAGACATAACTAATATGAGGAGCATTGTTATTTTTTTTCCATTCACGGGCATTGATCGGGAGCTTGTCCCTTACAAGGTACCCACAGTGGTACATGAATTTCTGTGCATATTGTCCTAGTGGTTCGCCTGTAGCCACGTTGAATTATGAGATGATGTAGCGGCCTTCCAACGGCTTTTTGGCCCCTCGAACATTCTTTGTGTTCCCCGTCGTCGTCGTCGATCCAGACGGCTATGTATGCATAGAAACACAAAAAGTATTATAAAACGAAGGTCGATCCAGTGGGCTACATGTATGTATAATAAATAAATGAGAGCTAGATATTGAGAAATATATACCTCGCCGAAATTATCTTCATGAACAACTTCCTCAACAATATGATCGAGATTCAAGTATTGACTCCCGTCGTCTTCCTGCTAGTCATTATCAACATCGGCACAATGTTCAGTGCCGGCGTTGATAATATCCATCATTTCCGCCTCTAGGTCATCGTCTCTCGGGTCGGCCATAGAGAGCCTAAACAATTATAAAATAATAATTATGCAATTAGGGTTTCATAGACATTTCATAGACATTTTGGGGCGGTGGTGCCAGCGCGGGGCGGCCGGCCAGCGTCGATGGCTGGGGAGGGTTTAGGGTGGTTTAGGGTATAGGCCACATGGTATCAGAATATAACACAATTGATTTTTTTCCTAAGGAAAAATTATACATGTATACATTAATTGATATATATATACACATTTCATACATACATATATACATTAATTGATATATATATATGCACATTTCATACATATATAATTTCATACATATATACATTAATACACATTTCATCAATATAATTCATAAATATAATATATATATATCGGCGGTTTAGAATTAATAGAGTGTTGGCGACGGGCGGTGGTGGACAGCGGCGCTGGATCGAGGCACGGGGGCTCTTGGCGGGGCGCGGCGTCGTTGGGGCTACTCCGGTGAGGTGTGGGTGGGCGTCGGGATGCCCTCTGGTGAGGAAGAAGGCGCGGTGGCCTAGGAAAGCGAAATCGGCGGCGATGTGGCGCGCACACGGCGTTGGGGGTAGCCAGGGGCTCCTCCTTGAGGGGCGCGGCGTCGGGGCTACTCCAGCGAGGTGGGCGGGTGTCGGGGTGCCCTCCTGTGAGGAAGGCGGCGTCGGGGGTGGCCAGGAAGGCGAAATCGGTGGCGGCGTGGCGCGCGCGGGGCGTCGGGGGCGGCCGGGGGCTCCTCAGTGAGGGGCGCGGCATCGGGGCTACTCCGGCGAGGTGGGCGAGCCTCGGGGTGCCCTCCGGTGAGGAAGCAGGTGGCGTCGGGGGTGGCCGGGAGGTGAATCGGCGGCGGCGGAGCTCTAGGGACACGCTGAAGACGACGATCGATGAGGAGGAAGAGAGAAGGGAGGCGGCGGTATATAGGAGAGGGACCTTTAGTCCCGGCTCCATGCACCGCCCGGGACTAAAGCACCTTTAGTCTCGGCTCCTGCCACCAGCCGGGACTAAAGGGGGACCTTTAGTCCCGGCTGTTGGAAGGAGCCGGGACTAAAGAATTTATTGGCGGGCCACCAAATGCGGCCCACCTTTAGTCCCAGCTGGTGGCAGGAGCCGGGACTAAAGGTGGGCTACATTTTCATTTCCCGCCAACTTTTAAGCAGATCAGTTTATTTTATATGTTTTGTATTTAAATGTTTAAGTCTTATTATTTGCACAGTAAATTCAATACTAGGCATAAAATTTTTTTAGAAAAACTAATAAACTTTATTTTCATTTACTGCACACAAAAAAATGTGATCTAAACTATTGTGTTTTTTATTATAAATGTTGAACATAATGCAACTAATACTCACTATTTTCATTAATGCAAAAATGTAGACTTTAATTGAAATTATTAAATTTATTGGTTTTCGACAGGAAATTAGTTTTCACGTAATTGTAACGTAAATCTTTAGGTTCTTCATTAATCATTGTATAATTAATCGGTGAGTTCGGGCGGAAATTCAATTAAAGTTAAAAAAGTACCAAACCACCTCAGAAAAATCTCAAACTTGGTGGTGGCTACACACAGGGCATTTGTAGTCTTGAGAAAAAGTTTGAGACCAATCCGGCACTGGAAAGCAAATGGACTTCAGAGTCCCAGAGAACCTAGGTGTATAGATAGGGTTCGACGAAAGGTTCTATATACCTCTGTGAAGCACGTCGACTCCGCCTATGTCGAAATGACTTGAAATTTTTTTAGCAGTCATTTACACCCAAAATATGGTCCCACACAAGATCTTAGATTTTTCTGATAATTATTTTTATTATTACATTTTTCTTTGTGCCGCGTGAGACGAAATACGATGAATTACATATTGAAAACAATATAATTTTGCATCAACCTCCACAAATATTTGTCTCCTAGGGCACAAGAGACCATTTGGCAAAGTTTGGCACCATTCCTGATCTTTTCGGGGGTGGACTCAGTTCAACGTATAATTAATCGGTGAAGTCGCGTGGAAATTCAATTAAAGTGCAAAAATTACCAAACCAATTCAGAAAAATCTCAAACTTGGTGGTGGCTTCACACTGGGCATTTGAAACCTTGATAAAAATTATGAGATCAATCAGGCACTAGAAAGCACATGGACCAGAAAATTCAAAGTATAGTTAACAAAAGAATATAATCAATTAAAGGGTATTTTCTCTTATTAAATAAATATTTGGGTGCTTTCTTGTCGAGAAAGTGACTTAGTTCAGATGGCTAGCTAGTGCGCTACGGTTTGGACCTTTGCTATGAGGTCGTGGGTTCAATGCCTGGCTGCCCTATTTTTTTGTCCAGCGCGACTATATTATTTTATCAAGAAAGATTTTATCCCTGTTATAGCCCAGAGCCGGGACTAAAGGTCATCCTTTAGTCCCAGCTGGAGCCTCAAGCCGGGAGTAAAGATTTATTTTCGGTTGGAGGGTCCAGCCGGGACTAAAGGATAACCTTTAGTCCCGGCTCTGGGCTATAATCGGGACTAATTATTGCCTGCCGTCGCCACACACTTGGGGCAGGAACTTTGTATCCTTGTTTGAGGATACAACCGGGACTAATAGTCCCTTTAGTCCCGAACACAAAAATACCGGGACTAAAGGCAAAAATAGAGGCGGGATGAAAGGTCTGTTTTCTAGTAGTGATACAAACTTCAAGCTGCAGAAAATGGATGAAAATGACAGTTGCAAAAGAAAACCTAGAAGGACTTCGAATCTGTATTGTGCTGTTGCTAGTGATCAATTAACATTTCTAACTAGGATACAAATATTTACATATGCTACTCAAATTGTACAAATCTAACAAGAGACACTTTCTTTACTTACTTTAATATATTCAGCCATCCTCTCACTGGTGGTAAGCTGTACTCCTCTCTTCAAAGCAACTTTAGCAATATAACTTTTCTCCCACAACTTTACCATAGCATTAGCTAAGCCTTGGAGTTGTCTGCTTCGTCCTAACATCCATTAGTAAGGGTGAAATTAATATAAGATAGTACAATGGATCGACAAGTTCATAGTTTAACTAAAGCATAAGTGCATAACAGAAGTTACCGAGAGCAAAGTGAGGAGGCAGTCCCCGGGCAAGACGGCGTAAATTGGTAGTGTCCATTCGGCTAAGAGATGGCCGGACACCATATGGCAGAACTCTGAAAGGGGGCTTGTAACTTGGCACGGCTGCAGGAAGTAAATTTGCATCTACTGGTAACGGGTCGGATCCAGGCCAGTCAGTGTATCTTGGGCCAAGTTCATCCAACAGTTTGTCAATTTCATCTTCATACTTGATTTTTTGTGCTTGTACAACTATTTCCTCTTTCGCAGCATTAGAAACTAAAGGTCCATTGCTATCTTGTACACTGTTTGCTTTCTCAGTTGGTAGTGAGGAAGCATTAGGAGACCCTTTAATTGGGGACTTCATAGCAAGAGACTGTGAATTCTTCTTTGACCCCTTAGTGGTTTCCGGTTCATCGTAATCTACTCCCCTGTACAGAGAAACAGAAGTCCCTGATCTCCATATTACTAATCCTCCTGTTTTTCTCTAATCACCACCATTATAACACACAAAAAAAAGGAAGAAAGTATATCAGATGACAAGCACATCATATATCTGAACAAAGATGAGTTGAGAATAAATCAAAGCCACTATATTCAACTTAGACTTTTATTATTACTTTTTTGCGCACAACTCAATTCACAATAGAATATTTTTGCGAACATTTCATAATGTTTCAAAAGCACAGTGTTTTTCAAAGATCTAATTGTACACCGAATATACTGTAGTAGTTGTATCCAAATATTCCATGATATTACCTGCACTTAATATGATTTTGCTAGTATCTTTCTCAACTGAACTTAATAATAGAAACAGAATGTAGCACTCATTTTCAAGTCAATTCTACAATGGGAAAGAACCATAATAAGTGGAATGATAGAACTTGATAATTAACATCATAAACATCAATTGTATAGAGTTTTCAAGCACTGACAAGAGGCAACTCATTGGTATCCTGTCCCTCGCTGAGAGTAACTGAGTTACGAGCTATGTGGTATTCTACTTCAACAACCGAACTCAGGGAAACTAATGAACAATTGGGTACAACTGCATAGTGACAAACACAGATTTCAACAGGGAGCAGTTTAGGCCTTGGGCTGATGGAGCTAACAGAGTACACACATACATACAGATAGGAGTATATGCATCCTTAAATTTGACGATTTGAAACATGAATTATTAATTCATGGTTGTTCGTTCAACCATGAATTAAGAAGCAGCCAACGACGTACGCGTGCACCGCATGCATGCGTTGATCGTGCGTGCCTGCGCACGGCATGGCACGGCAGGACGACACGGCAGCGTTGCATGCCAGTCGGTTCGCCTACTGGAGGCTGCTGGCTGGCCGGTGGCTGCTGATGCTGGTCAGATCATCATCAGTTGGTTAATTAGTACTACCCCTATGTGCATGTTTTGCCTGATTCCTCAACGGAAACCCACCCTTGATACTAGTAGTAGTATATCTTACCCGTACGTGTTGACCGAATAATATAAATAGATAAATTTAATCAAGCATGGATGATATGATGGTGACGACGTACTACGCCACCCGCCCAATCGACAAGTGATGCTAGCTGTAGTAGCCTGTGTAGGATCGGTCGTACTCCACTGATCTCCATCGATCAATAGTCTATCGAGTTTTGATGTAGACGCTGGAGCATACTAGCTATAAGCTATATGCTAGCGAGCCGGCGGCGACCAAATAATGTGCATGCTCCGGCCAGCATGCTTTAACAAACGGAGGAGATGTATTTGTGTATCTATACTGTACACGTAGTACTATACGTGACAGAGAGATATACGACGACAGCAACCGGTGAAGGAACGAACGAGCTGTGTGTCGTCCACGACAGCCGGATATCTCTCCGGTGAGATGGATGATATGATGATGCATGCACGCGCACAGTGGGCCAACAGTTGAGACGCCCGGCCCGGCCACACGCCCCTGCGCGTCGGTGCGCGGGGCCGTACGCGCGCGCGTGTCGCTCGCGCTAGTCGTCCTCTTGATCGGTCCTCGACGTGCGACTAGCTTGCTGCCGCCTCCGCCTGGGCAGGCGGAGAGGCGCGCTGCCCGGCCGACCGATCGAGCAGAGCACGCATGCGTGCGCGCTACAGCTACGGGATCCGTCGTCGTCGTCGTCGTCGTCGTCGTCGCGGACCGCCGCAACCGCACGCGCCTATCTTTCTTTAATTATCTGATCCACGTACATACGCATCGTCCTCGTCCGGCGGCGGTTGCGAGCGCGCCTGCCTGTGCCGGCCGGTACTCATCCACCACCTTGGGTCCTGGGGGAAATTGCTGCCGTGCAGTGCAGGTGCAGCCCTGGGTGTGGTGTGGTGGCCTGGCCAGTGGACAGTGGACAGTGGTGCAGCTAGGCCGTCATAGGACGTGAACTCATGTTCGGTTTAGGTTGCCGGGATACATCAGTTGCAATTAATCATGCATCATTTCCATCCATCGTGCAGCTAGACCTAGCTACCCGGTCTCTTCTTCTTTTTTCAAAGGACAAATAAAAAGGAAAGAAAGGTGCCACATCATATAAGTACATCGGTCGCATCCAGTAACAAGCATGCATGGTCACTCCTAGGAGTCTCCAATAATGCAGCCGTGACTACTGGGCAGATTGATTCCACATCACCTTGCTGCTGTTATTATGGAAGCAAATTGCGACACATTATTCCTAGTTAACTCCCGTTGATGAACCTCAACGACTGTTAATTTCGTTCCAGATTATTTATCGTCGTCACTGCGACTGGATTCAAAACATGGACAATCATTCAAGGGTTAGAAGCCTATAAACTACCCAGGCCAGGCATGCATGGTACACAAACTCCCCTTTCTTTTTCAGTAATTATGGGCAGCAGGTGGATGTTAATATAATGATGTACAGATGTGTTGCACGTTCCTGAAAATTAGATAACGTCAGTTAGCTATAAGTTTTTTTCTTTTTTTTTTGAAAAAGTCAGCAGGGGAGCCCCTACCTATTTTTTTGCTTTTTTCCTTTAAGGAAATGTACAAACAGGAGGTTACAATATTTACAAATGATACAAAGCATCTAGGCCCAAAAACAAAACCAAAGAAGAAATGCTATAAAAAATTCTCTCGCCATCCTAGCCAGCGCTGCATCTGGGCTTGATCAGTGTCCGTTGAAACATCATAGCTTATAGTACACTAGAGATGTCCTCCTCGTCTGTCCATTTACACGATGAGGCACTGTGGAACAGGGAGGGTGAAGGACGGAGGCGCAAGCGATGGTGTGGGGTGCGGCTCCAACGCAGAAGGGCGACCGCTAGCATGGGGGCACGGCTTCGGCGTTGAAGGGCAAGCATCGGTGCGGGGCATGGCTCCGTCACGGAGGGGTGAGCAACAGATGTGCCTTTGCCAGATAGATGAGCTCATCAGGTGTGAATGGTGGCACGATGAGGAGGCGTCGCTATGGCAGAGAGACGAGTAGACATTGCAGACGCGAGGAAGAAGAGGTGCAACAGAGGATGACAGGCGAGCCCCACGAGACTGTAGCTAGAACTCCGTCCATCCTCTTCCACCATCACTCCGATCAAACAAAAAAATAGGGATGAGTCCATCCTCTGAACCAAACAATGGCCGCAACCATTCCATCACTAAAAATAGGAATAGAACCATCCTATATTCCATTTGGTTTCGGAAGCAAACACACTCTAAGATGGCTAGCTACACGTACATGATGCATGCCAACCAGAGCTCTAAACTAAACTCATCAAGGAGAAATTTAAACATGCCTGCCACATAGGGATGAAAACCACTGATATTACATTTGTTTTCATATTTCTATCCGGATTCGGATTCGAATACGAATAGTGTCAACCATGTCGGATAGGATACGATTGGATATCGACATCATAAATATGCAATTTAAATATTCAGATACGGATACGGTATCGGATGTTGGATATCCAGACTTGGATACGGACAGATCTGAACCACTCTAAACGAATTCGGCCTCGAATACGGCCGAAAAATATCCGTACCGTTTTCACCCCTGCTGCCACACGTAAGTGCAAAGAGTATTATTATGACTTCTAATTTTAGTCCCTGTTTAGATCCCTCTAGTTTTTGTCGGTTTTTAAGAATTTGGCTTTTGGAAACTGGGTCGTCAAACAAGCTAGTTTTTTTTAAAATCAGGAAGCTATTGATACCTAGCTTTTATCAGTTTCTTGTGACCCATAGAGCAATAAATGAAGCCAGATTCTTCAAAACTGGGGGATCCAAACATCCACTAGTTTTTGCTTAGAATCCAGATTTTAAAAATTAGAGACAAAAATTAGTTTTTAAGAATTCAAAACTATCGAAACAGGACGTTAATATGGCATATGGCAGTTCGCACGATTATATTGGGTCCAATGAGCAAGCACCGGCACCGGCACCGGCCTAGATGCAGCGGCTGGCCCTAGCTACCTACCTAGTAGCTCGATTCACCACTGTCAGCCACCTTTCAGCCTACAGTACCAGTGTGGCCCCCTGCTTGAAACGTCGTCGGTTGCGTGCGCCCACCTGTTAATTTATCAATGAAAGCCGGTATCTTATTCCTGCTGCTGGCCTAAATAAACACTTTCCAAAACTCATGTTCTACCTCTAATTTCATCTAATCGCGCATCGCTCTCAAGCTTTAATAATCTCGGCATCAAGCAGCAAGCAAGCTTCTACAAGAAAAGACGGTCTCATGTCCATGTATGCAGTTGAACTGTTTACTCATGAGAGCGAGAGCGAGAGCGAGGAGATCCCAATGAAGCTTTCAGAGACGCGACTGTTGATCCGATGCCCCCTCAGCAATCAGTTGAAACAAAAAAAATGCTACACTGCAATTTTCCTTGTACCCAAAAATTATGAACTCAGAAATTAATTGGCCGGGTGATAATATATCATTTAATTTGTCGAGTATATGTAGTTTATCTCCTACAACTAAAAATAACAAAAGTAAGACAATTTTTTGGTGCAACTTTTTTTTGGATCACCCTTCCCTCCCTTCGCTTGCGATACCGACCCGTAGCGACGCCGAAGGAAAGCGCGTACGTCGCGGCTGTGGGGTCGCCCTCCCCTCCCCTCCCTTGCGATATGACAAGGAGCGACGCGGAAGGAATCGCGGCCCGCAGCGACGTCAAAGGAAGGCGTCACGGCCCGCAGCGACGTTGAAGGAAACCTAGTCTCCTCTCCAATCAAAGTTGTCGCCCCCCGTAAGCCCTCGCTCCTCTCGCGAAGCATTCCTCCGCACCCGCCCTCGCTCCTCGCGATTTGGATTTGGCCTTCCTCCGTCGTCGCCGTCGCCGGCCGGCATCGTTCGCCGTCGTACCCGCGCCGTTGGTCTTGGAGGCCTTCCTCGCCTCGATCAATTCCACGCCCCAAGCTGCACGTTTCCTCCCCGCAACCGACGCACGAACCGTGGCTCCACGACCTCGCCCCGTGACGCTGACCCCGGCACATGACCTCCTCCCACCCGCTGCCCCAGACCCCGCTCCCGCCGACCCTGGCACCCAGCCTCCTCCAGTCCTCCTCCCAGCTGCGAAGCGGCCCCCAACGCCGACAACGTCGGCCGCGACGCTAACAACCCCGGCACCCGGACTCCTCCTCGCCGCCCCAGTTGCCCCCGCCGATCCTGCACCCGGCCTCCTCCTCCCCGCTGCGACCGTGCCCCCGCCTCGGATGGTGAAGACGTCGGCCGTGACGCTGACCCCGGCACCGGCCCTAACCCGTCGCACAGCGGTAAGTCCTCCGCATTGTTTGAGCACCTATTTCTGAAATTGCTACTCTGGTTCATCAGTCCTCCACTTAGATATAGTTTTGCTTGTGAGCTTAGCTTTGCCATCACATTCAGGGGTTCTCCAAAGCAAAGCACGATGAAAAAGCGGACATCAATGACCTGAACTTTGACATGATATGCTGCTGATACTGAAGGTTTATATTCGGAATTCCCTTTCTCATTTGTGTAGTAGTTGGCAGTAAGATCTGTGGTACCACAATGTGATTTGTCTCCTTTCCTGCCTCAATTGTGAATTCATCCTCAATTGTGTAGTAGTAGGCACTAAGATCTGACGTTAACCATTTTTTTTTTCTTTTAGTTTTGATTTGTGGCTTGATCTGAGGTCATAAGGAACATTGTCGACTCCTAACAGTCAATGAAAGATCCAAGAAACCATGTTAAAAAATCAGAAACATCAGTATTGATCTACTATCTATTTTTTCCATTTGGTCAAAGTTGTTAACTGTAGCTTGAGGGTCGATTTGGAGGGGAAACATCAAACATAGTAGCAGGATCAGTTGCGGCTCTTGAGCAAAAAAATACTTGTGCTTAAATCCTAATAAAGAAATATATCGGTTAGTATATAGAAGTATCAAATATATTTACTGCAAGTTCTCAGTTTCGGATGAGGCGTCTAAATTTCGGAGGAGGAACCATCCAAACGGGAATAATTTGTGCCTTTCATTCAGGTGCTGCCCATATGCAACAAAGCTTCTGAGCCAAGGTGACATCATTTGATCTCTGTCTTGTTTTCTGCACTGCAAAATTTCAGTCATGCAGGAGTCTTTTGTAGTTGTGTATGCGGAGTTCTTGCTCCACATGGTGGTGTTCTTTGTCCTATCCTAGGGTTGGTGCTCATGGTGGTGGCACACACATTGAGTTTGTAGTGTTCTACTATGGTGGAACAATGATGATCGGCATTTTCCTTGTGATACTGATTATACTCTTTCAGGTAATTTATAATCCTCTTCAATCTGCTCTGTATAGTAGTAGTTGAGCACTTCAGCTGATGGTTGTGTTAGTTGATCTCCACCAATAGGCCCAACGGCCTATTGGGCCCTTATCTCTGCTCCTTGATCAGGGGAGCCCAACCCTAATCCGGTTGGTGGGCCCCTGTCGCACAGCACACATAAAAGGAAGGTGGGGGGTGAGGGCTCGAATAACGAGGTTCGCCGGAGCCGCCACACCCACCAAAGAAAACCCTAATCCGATCTAAAGACGTGCTGCCAGCGACGGGATGGCCCACCGACTCCGCCGTCTCCCCTGCAGGTCACCAGCCGGCGTCACTGGACCTCATCTCGCTGGCGCTGGACGTCTTCTACACCGCGGCACCGGCTGCGGTGCATCTACTGAGAAGGCAAGGAGTCTACCCGGATCTACGGGTCACACAGAGGTACTAATCCCGATCCTAACAATGGCATCAGAGCCAAGGTTGCCTCTGTAACCCTAACCCTAACCGGGTAAAAGAAAAGGAAAAGGGACCGGGGGTGGCGGATGTCACTAGAACCCGGTCACCACCGCCACCGCACGGGGGAAGAAGAGCACCGCCGTCCTCATCGGCGCGCAACAAGAAAAGATCCGTGTTTGGATCAGAGAAAAGAAAGGGGAAAAGGGATCTCAAGAACCCTAAGACCTAACCCTAACTCACATGGAGAAAGGGCTAACCCAAATCGGTCAAACAAAGAAAAGCATCTAGATCCGACTGGGGAAGAAGAAGAAGAGAAAAGGAAGGGAAAGACTTTCGGAACCCTAACCCCCTCATCTCAATCGGAATCAAATCCGAAAAGAAAAGAAATTAAAGGAAAAAGGATATGTTTCGGCATTAAGATGAACAGAGCCGAAACCCTAATCCCCGCATTAAGATGAACAGAGCCGAAACCCTAACCCTAGAACGGATCCTCATCCCTAACCGGTTGAATCCGAGAAGAAAGAAAAGAAGAAACCCTAACCCTAGATCCCCTTTTCGGGTGAACAAACGAAAGAAAGAAATCAAAAGAACAGAAAAAACGAATCGGCAGAATCGAATCGAATCGAAAAGCGCAACCCTAACCCTAGATCTTGACCCCAACCCCACCACGGTTAATCCCGAGGGTGAGAAGGGACGGGGAAGAAGGAAAAGGAGCCGAACCGCCTTTCGCGGCGAGGAGAAGAAGACCGAGCTGGGAAGATTTTTCACGGGCTCGCCAAAGAAGAAAAAAGGCAGCGGCCAGGCCGCTCAACGGCGGCATGCTCACCTGTTAGAACCACGCAGCAGCCGGCGAGGCGGCCATGACGGGCGCCATGGTCGCTCCACCGCCCGCTCGCTCGCTCGGTGTCCTCTCGGTCACTGCTGGTTACCTGAGAGAGGTAGAGAGAGGAGAGAGCGGCGAGCGAAGAGAGAGAGAGACCGAATGGAAATGATTCTAGGGTTTATTTGTCTTACCGGCATGGCCAGGTTTTGTTGGCGCTGAATCGACGCTACAAATGCCGATCTCCATCGGACGGCGCAGATTCATCGGCCGGCTTTTTCCGAAAATCTGTGGCAGCAGCCAGTCGATTCTCTGCCCCAGCCCAAAGTTGCGGCTCGGGCGCTGGGAGCGCAAGGAAGGGCGTGTGTGGGTTGTAATGGGCCGTTCTGGCGAAACAGAAAGAAACAAGAGCGAGTTTTCTTTTTTCTTTTTCTCGAAAATTGAAAATGTAAATTGGCTCAAAAAGAAAAATAGAAAAAGTAGTTTTATCCTGTGGATAGAATTCAAGAAATTGAGTGAAAGTTTTTTCGTTGCTAAAGAAAAGTATATTCTCCAATGATTTTGTAGTGACATGATATTTAACTGGAGAAATAAAAGTTTTTCCAGTAAATCTTTATTTCCTGGAAATTGATGATTAATGGCTTAAAGAAAATGGAAAAGAGAATTTCCCTGAGGGTAAAATTCAAGAAATTGAATTATTTTTTTGCTGCTAAAGAGAAATTGTTTATTCTCCAGTTAATTTGTACCAACGTGGTATTTAATTGGAGAAAAAGAAAGTTATTCCGCTGCTAAAGAAAACATTGATTCTCCAGTTATTTTGAACCAATGAGGTATTTAATTGGAGAGAGAGAGAAAAAGAGATTTGACATGATTATGATGTTGTTATTTTCTGACCAACGTTGATAATAACAATATCGTAATGTTAATGATTTATGCATTAATTCTACTTCTGCCCAACGGTGATGTAGAATTAGTGTATAAGAACATATGTTAATTTTAATGATTTATGCATTAATTCTACTTCTGCCCAACGGTGATGTATAATTAGTGTGTAAGAACAGTTGTGAAAGTTAAAGATTTATGCATTAATTCTATTTCTGCCTAACGGTGATCTAGAATTAGTGTATAAGAATAATTGTATGTTTTGATTTTGACCAACGTTGGAATCAAGGCATGCAAATGATGTTATTTTTATGATTAAGAAAAGTTCTGACCTGGTTTTTCATCTTGTCTAAGGTGGACTGGGTAGTCACCTCACCGTGTTCCACTGAGTTTGTGGCACCGGTGAGGGAGACAAATGAGATTGATGCCACTTGGGCAACTAAAGAAAGGGATTTTAAATCCCAAACGATGTCCTATGACTTTTGAGCATAGGCAGTGGGTCACTGCCAACGAGAAATGTTTGACTGTGATAAAGAACATGATTGAACCTGCAATTGTGGGCTCAATCCTAGAATGTGACACGGTCACCGAGTACCTCGATAGAATAAAGAGCAGTTCACTGGCTCTTCAAAGACATATGCCACTTAGCTGATAAAGCTGGTCACATAGTGTTACTCTGGAAATGGTGGCATAACAGAGCTCACGATGCATTGTCGAAATTATGACACTGTCGTTTAGGCCATATTTCGAGGGGGAGAATAGAAAGACAAGTTAAGAATGATATTCTACCTCCATTAGAGCTCTCAGATTAAGTTCAATGCAGGGAATGCATAAAAGAAAAGTATATAAAGAAGATTAAGAAAGATGACAAACGAAGCGCAGGAATCTTATAGATTATTCACACAGACATCTATGGTCAGTTTCCTGTAAAAAGTGTGGATGATAATGATTCGTTCATAACATTCACATATGAGTAATCCCATTATGGCTATATTTATCCAATCAAAGAAAGAAAAGATGTACTGGATAAATTCAAGATATTAAAGATTAAGATAGTCAGGTCTGACCGTGGAGGAGTACTACGGTCAGCATACCCTAAAAGAATGGCATAGTAGCCCAGTATTCTATACCGGGCAAACCTCAGCAGAATAGAGTAGCTAAAAGAATCAATCGTACCCTAATGGATATGGTGGGCAGTATGATAAGTTACTCCACCTTACAGTTGAGCCTGTGGATGGAGGTGTTAAAAACCTCATTCATATTCTCAAAAGAGTAACAAGTAAATCGGTGCCCAAAACACCGTATGAGTCGTGGACAGAAAGTGTATCCTCACTAAACCACTTGCGTGTGTGTGGGGGAGCCCTGCTGAGGCTAAAGTATTTAACCCAAACATTAGGAAGTTAGATTCCAAAATAGTAAGGTGCCATTTCATTGGCAACACAGAAAAGTCAAAAGGTTTTCGTTTTCCACTGTCCAGAGAGACATACAGAGTTTATGGAAACGAGACACGCTGTTTTCCTAGAAGATGAAAAGATGAGGGGGAGCATGGTAGCTCGAGAAATTGTCCTTGAAGTGAAGCGGGTGTATACGCCCACTCTAATGATTCATGAGCCATTTTTCTCACTACCTGCTGTAGCTACACCGATAGTGCTAGATACTGTGGTGCTAGCACCTGTTGTTATCCCACCTGTGGCAACAATGAATGACGATAAGGAACCTGTTCTTCAGGATTCTATAGAACCTATTGCCACACATGAGGGGGAGCAACAACAACCTCAAAATAGAAGATGTGCCGAATGTGAAGGCCCCTAGTAGGTCTCAAAAGAGTTAGAAAATCAGCTATTCCTGCTGATTATGAAGTGTACAACACTAAAGAATTTCAAATGGAGGATGATCCCGCCTCGTTTGAAGAAGCCATGAGTAGTGATCAGTCATCAAAGTGGCTTGAGGCCATGGAAGATGAAATGAAATCATTGAATGCTAATAAAGTTTGGGACTTGGAAATAATTTCTAAAAGAGTCAAAACAGTAGGCTATAAATGGGTCTACAAGACTAAACATGACTCTCAAGGGAATATAGAGACATATAAAGTGTGACTTGTGGCAAAAGGCTTTATGCAAAGAGAAGGGATTGATTACAATGAGACCTTTTCTCCAGTCTTATGTAAAGTTTCCTTCAGAATCATAATGGCATTAGTGGCACATTACGATTAAGAATTACATCATATGGATGTAAAGACGGCATTTCTCAACAGAGACTTGGAGGAAAATGTTTACATGGCACAACCGAAAGGTTTTGTCATGGAAGGAAAAGAACGAATGGGATACCGCCTAAAGAAATCCATTTATGGATTAAAGCAAGCTTCAAGACAGTGGTACTTGAAGTTTGATCGGTCAATAAAGAATTTTGGGTTTTAAAGAGAATGTAGAGGACAATTGTGTCTATGCAAAGTTTAAGATTGGGAAGTTTATCTTCCTTATCCTGTATGTAAATGATATCTTACTTGCTAGTAGTGATATCAGTCTACTACAGCAGACAAAGAAGTTTTGTTCTCAAAACTTGATATGAAAGATCTTGAGGAAGCCTCGTTCGTTCTAGGGATCGAGATTCACCGAGATAGAAGAAAAGGGTATAATGACTGTCACAAAAGGCATACATGAAAAATATCTTAAAGAAATTCAGTATGCACAAATGTAGTCCCTCACCTGCTC